AAAAAAAAAGAAAATAGAAGCAAATACTGTTGAATAATGATGCATGGAGGGGACTGTAGTCATTGCAATGAAACAATGACTGTAAAACCGATGTTCTCCCATGTAAACTATCACTCTATTCACAATAAAAACTTAAAAAAACAAAACTCTATGGGGCAGTTCTACTCTGTCACTTTTCCACCCATGATGCAATGGCACAGAACAACAACAATCACTAGAAAAGGACATCATCTTTGGCAAAGCAAAACTGAGGGACACCCTTCATACGATGGGTTGACACAATGGTCATAGTAATGGGCTCAAACATACCAACAATGGCAAACACGGCTCAGGATCAGGCAGTGTTTCATTTTTCTATCCATAATGTCATTAGGAGTTGGAGCCAACTTGATGTCAACTGTGGATTTAATCTAACACAATGTACTGTATTCACTGTCCATCATACAATCAGTGGATTGAGATCAGCCCACTGAAGCCAGACCAGTAAGTTCTAAACATTAACACTTCTGAGTACTCTACTGCCAGCAAACACCAAGTCCACTCAGACTCACAGACAACAGAAGGAAACCCTGCCCAGTCCTGTGTCATCCTCATAAAGGAGTCCATGGCTGTGGTGAACTCTGAGTTATGATAAGGGGAGCATAGACACAGAGACACAGGGGGAGGACAGACAGCCTCAGGCTGTGGAGGCAGATGCATCTACACACCGAGAACTCCCAGCATTGCCAGCTACTAAAGCTTGACCCAAACCATGGTATTTTCTATAACTTCATATGCATGTCAAAGTTGACAGTGAATTAGTAAGACCGTAGAAGAACTGATTCATTTGAGTTATGGGGCTGGAGGAGAATATTAAAAGTATCATGAAAGGAGGGGAGTGACTGACTTTGCAGTCCAGGAGCAGAAGTCCCTGGGACCATCAAAGGAGAAGAGCGGAGAGCGGGATCCTACCCAGAGAAAGGGTGACGCCAGAGATGGAGGCAGAGATGATGACCTGGAGAGATGGAGTAGCTGGGGACTCTAGACCCAGAGAGAGAGAGGGGTTGTGTGCTGATGACTGGGGGGCAGGTTTGCAGTGTATATATATACCTTTTGGTTGGTTGATGATGCATGGAGGGGATTGTAACCATGGCAGTGAAATGATATACGACAGGATGAATGTAAGGCTAATGTTCTCCCACATAAACTGTCACATAATTCACAATAAAACATTAAAAAGAAGGGAAAAAAAAGTATTATGGACTGCCAAAAGAACAAACCAATCAGTGTTGGAAGAAGTACAGTCAGAGTGCTCCTTAGAAGCCAGGATGACCAGACTTTGTCTCTCATACTTATCAGGACAACATGCTAGGTAAAGTGAAGGATCCGCAAAAATAAAACAAGACCCCCAAAGAGATGGATTGGCACAGTGGCAGCAGCAATGGGCTTAAGCTTAACAATGATTTGAGGATGGTGCAGGACTTGCAGTGTTTCGGAACCAACTTGAAGCTACCTAATAACAACAGAAGCTGAACTGTGGAGTCATTGAAAAAGTGGAAGACCCTCACTGATTGCGATGGTTGCAAATGTAAAGGTAGATGTTTGGTAACAAAAGGAGGGGAGTGGTTGATCTTGCAGCCCAGGAGTGGAGGACCCTGGGACCATTAAGGGAGAAGAGCGGAGTGTGGGATCCTATCCAGAGAAGCAGCAACGCCAGAGATGGAGGCAGAGACGACGATGTAGAGAGATGGAGCGGGTGGGGACTCTGGACTCAGGGAGGGAGAGGGGCTGTGTACTGGTGGTCATGGAGCAGGCTTGCAGGGTATGCCCTTTGGTTGTTTGAATGATTATATGTCCCTGCTTTGGTGTATATTAAACAACAACAACAACAGAGGGAATAGAAGCAAATGCTGTTGAATGATGAGGCATGGAGGGGATTGAAGTCATGGCAATGAAACAAAATACAATAGGATGACTGTAAAGCTGACGTTCTCCCATGTAAACTATCACTCAATTCACAATAAAAATGTAAATTATACGTATGTATACGTATACATGGAGTCCTGGTGTGACGCTGAGTGTTAATGCGCCAGACTGTAAAGCCGTTCGAATTGCAGGATCGGCGGTTCAAGCTCACCAGCTGCTCCTCAGAAACACTAAACCAGGGTCGCTATGGGTCAGAATCAACTCGATGGCACTTAACAACAACAACAGCATACATATACATATGTTGTTGTTGTTGTTGTTAGGTGCCACTAAGTCGGTACCGCCTCATAGCGACCTTATACACAGCAGAACAAAACACTGCCCGATCCTGGGCCAACCTCACTACTGTTGTCACGCTTGAGTCCATCGATGCTGCCACTGGCCAATCCATCTCTTTGGGGGTCTTCCTCTTTTTCTCTGACCCTCCACCTTACCAAACATGATATCCTTCTCCAGAGACTGCTCCCTCCTGACAATATGTCTGAAGTAGGAGAGACGAAGTTTGGCCATCTTGGCCTCTAAGAAGCACTCTGGCTGAACGTCTTCCAAAACAGATCTATTGGTTCTTTTGGCAGTCCATGGCACTTTCAATATTCTCCTCCAACACCATAACTCAAAAGCATCAATTCTTCTACGGTCTTCCTTATTCACTGTGCAGCTTTCACATGCATATGAGCTTATTAAAAACACCATAGTTTGGGTCAGGCACACCTTAGTCCTCCAGTTGACATCTTTGCTCTTCAACACTTAAAAAGGTCTTGCGCGGCAGATTTGGCTAATGCAATACATAGTTTTATTTCTTGACAGCTGCTTCCGTAAGTGTTTATAATTGATCCAAGAAGAATGAAGTCCTTGACAACTTCAATCTTTTCTCCATTGATAAGAATGTTATTTATTGGTCGAGTGGTGAGGATTTTTGTTTTCTTTACATTGAGATGTAATCCATACCAAAGGCTGTACTCTTTGATCTTCATTGATAAATGTTTTAAGGCCTCTTCCCTTTCAGGAAGCAAGGTTGTGTCATCTGCATATTGCAGGTAGTTAATGAGTCTTCCTCCAATCCAGATGCCATGGTTTTCTTCATATAATCCAGCTTCTCAGATTATTTGCTCAGCATAGAGGTGGAAGAATACAACCTTGTCGTACACTTTTCTTAATTTTAAACCATTCAGCGTTCCCATGTTCTGTTTGAACAACTGTCTCTTGGTCCAGGTACAGATTCCTCATGAGCACAATTAAGCGTTCTGGAATACTCATACTTCGCAATGTTGTCCATAGCTTGTCATGATCCACACAATCGAAAGCCTTTGCATAGTCAATAAAGCACAGGTAAACATCTTTCTGATATTCTCTGCTTTCAGCCAAGATCCATTGCACATCAGCAATGATATCCTTCATTCCACGGTCTCTTCTGAATCCTGCTTGAACCTGTGGAAGTTCTCTGTCAATGTATGCTTGCAGCTGTTTCTGTATTACCTTTAGTAAAACTTTACTCGCATGGGATATCAAAGAGATTGTCCAATGATTTCTGCATTTCATTGAGTCACCTCTCTTTGGAATGGGCACAAATACGGATCTCTTCCAATCAGTCGGCTAGATAGTTGTCTTCCAAATTTCTTGGCAGAGATGAATGAGTGCCTCCTGTGCTGCCTCACTTTCTTGAAAGATTTCAATTTTTATTCCATCAATTCCTGCCTTGTTATTTGCCAGTTCCTTCAAGGCACCTTGGACTTCCTCCTTCAGGATCATTGACCCTTAATCATATGCTACCTCTTGAGCCAGTTGAACACATTAACTATTCCTTTTTGGTACAGTGACTCTGTGTACTGTGGTTGCTTGCAAGTTGCTGTGATTCTGAAAGCTATGCCACTGGTATTTTAAATACCAGCAGGGTCACCCATGGTGGACAGGTTTCAGATGAGCTTCCAGACGAAGACAGACTAGGAAGAAGGAGTAACAAACTACTTCCAAATATTTAGTCACTGAAAACCTTATGAATAGCAGAGAAACACTGTCAGATACAGTCCTGGAAAATGAGCCCCTCAGGTTGGAAGGCACTCAAAATGCGACTGGGGAAGAGCTGCCTCCTCAGAGTAGAATTGCCCGTGATGACGCGAATGGAGTAAAGCTGTGGGAGAAACGCCTGTGGGACCTTCATTTGCTGATGGGTCACAACGCAAAATGAAGAGAAACAGCTGTAAACATCCATTGAAAATCGGAACATGGAATGTACGAAATATGAATCTGGGAAAATTGGAAGTTGTCAAAAATGAAATGGAACACATAAACATCAATACCTTAGGCATTAGTGGGCTGAAATGGACTGGTATTGGCCATTTTGAATCTGAAGACCATATAGTTTACTATGCTGGAAATGACAAATTGAAGAGGAATGGTGTTGCATTCATTGTCAAAAAGAACATATCCAGATCAGTCATGAGGTACAATGCTGTGATAGGATAATATCCATGCGCCTACAGGGAAGCCCAGTTAATACCACTATTATTCAAATTTATGCACCAACCACATATACTATATATATATATATATATATATATATATATATATATAGAGAGAGAGAGAGAGAGAGAGAGAGAGAGAGAGAGAGAGAGAGCCCTTTTTTAAAATACAACATCAACGTAAAGGGGTTTTTTTGTTTTTTGTTTTTGTTTTTTTTTTAGTTATTTTCAATGAAGAGTTAGAAATCTTAAAAAAGTAGAAGATCCTCAACAAGACAGACTGACAAAGTCACAGTAAAATTGACCAAGGACCCACCCTGAAACCACACCCTGAACTTGGAGTTTTAGCCTTCAGAACTATGAGAAAATACATTTCTGCCTTTCAAGCCCCCACTTGCGGTAGTTTTGTCCTAGCGGCCTGATTTCTCACCCTCCCAAGACCCCTGCAATGCAGGAGTCACTAAACAGACAAGGAGGTGAGGGCCATCAAAGGACAGTGCCCAGCTCAGCACACCCCAGGATGGGGCCCCAAGTCCATCTGACCCCACGGCTACATTCAATCCCCCTCAGCCCTACCCACTTCAGAGACGCCCCCAAGTCTAGTCGTGCCGGGGCACGCAGGGGAGCGGGGGTTGGTACCAGGGAAAGGGACAAGCCAGAGCAGAACGGGTGTGGGAGAAATTAGCACCCAGGGAGCACGGAGGAGGGGCCGCGGTAGGGGTTGGGAAGAGAGGCAGCCAGTCCCCACTTCTCAGCATCCTTGACCCCACAGTGAGTATTTGGACAATGAGTGTTCCATTCTCATGAAGCAGGAGATGAGATTGTGAAACCGGAATAAACCGATCCTGCTCCACCCACTTCACCTGATGGTTTCCTACCCACTGTGACCTTGCCAGCCCTGGATTATTGCACAAGCCAGGCAAGGGGGGCACCCAACTGCAGACGATGACCGCAGCCTCAGAGCAGGTGAGTCAAGAGGAGCCTGTTTGTGAAGGCTGCTGCCTGCTGGAGACAGATCAACAGGAGGAACATTCCAGAGACAGGCCAGGGAGACCTGCCCAGGCCTGCCCTGATTGAGGGACCAGGATGGTCTCTTTGGAGGCAAATTCTGGAAGCAGACACTCAGCTCCTAAGCCAGTTGTGTTGGAGGGAAGCTTCGGGAAGGTTCCGGCTTCCACAGAACCTTGAAGCGCAGTGGGCCTCGCTTGTCCGCATACAGAAATCTCTCCGGCACAGAGGGCGAGGCAAGGCCCTGCTCCCACCTGCCTCCCTGGGGTGCAGCAGGTGTCCTTGGTCCCAGCTCTGCCAGGTGACACTTCCTATGGCCCAACAGCCCCTGTATCTATCCCTTGTCAACCTTATTACAACCCCTCATGCCCAAACCCCTCACCCTGGACATATCCTTTAGACCCTAGCCCAGGTTCCCCACCTGCCTACAGGAGACGCTCTCCGAATGGAAGCTACTGTTTCTCTTTTCCTCTGGCTCATGCTGGGCCGGAAGCTTCAGTCCCTATTGAAAGCTGGCCCTCAGCACCCTGCCTCATGGAGGAATTCTAAGGCCCAAACATAGAGAGACAGCATCCACGGGCTTCACTGGCATCCCAGGATCATGCCCGACCTCTCGAGGCTGTGATGGCCCGTGTCCTGCACACACCTGTCCTCACACACACACACCCTGCACACACTTGCCCTGCTCACACCTGCCCTTGCACACACACACTGCACACGCTTGCCCTGTACACACCTGCCCTCACACACACACCCTGCACACGCCTGCCCTGCTCACACCTGCCCTACACACACACCCCTCTCTGCCTCCCCCTGCTCACACCTGCCTGTTCACACCGACCAATACAGATCCATCCCACTCCAGCCCTACTGATCTTGAACACTTGCCCCACACAAGCCCATCCCATTCATGCCCACTCCACTGCTCATCATGGTCAAGCCCACCTGTTTACACTCAGCACACCTGCCCATTTGGCTCCCAAACACCCCGTTCCAGAATAGAGGCTGTTCCACTGCCATGGGGATTGTCCAGGAGCCTGAGCCGGTGCTCATCGTGGATCGAAGGCCCTGAAGAAGCAGAGCAGAGGCCACCTGCTGCAGGTGGGGTCTGGGGTCTGCCAGGAATAGCTGGATGTGACCTGCCTCCACAGCCCCTGGAGCATCACGCCTGGCCCTCCAGCCTGGGTTGGCTGGCTGTGAACAGACCCCCAGGCTGGTTGGCTGGTTGGTGTTGCTTCTTCTGGCCCCACAGAGAGGTGGAGGAGGACTTCCAGGGAAGAGACAGTGAATTTCTGGGGTGTCTCCTGGGAGGGTCTACTCAAGGTCACCTGTTAAGGAGAAGTAAAGACCCCCCCCAAAGACCCAGCAGTTCTCTTTCTCAGTGGCACCCAGGAAGGCCAGCAGAAGGCGGCTTGAGGCCTGACCTTTCCAGGGGCCACAAGCATCAACTTCAAGTCCTTGGGCCGAGGTTTCTGAGTTGAGAACACAGAAGACACCTGGTTTAGGGGGTTCCCATAACCAGGATGGGCCCCTCCTCAATCTGAGTCCTGGCCTGTGGTGCTGAGTCCCTGCCTCCACCCACCCTACAGCACCAAGTGGGTGGCTGGGTGGTCTCTCCTGTCCCACCCTGCTCTGTGCTCCCCCCCAGGGGAGAGATGACCTTTATGGATTCCACAACACACACAGAGAGAAACATACAAATACCACACACATCTCAGCCCTCTGGTTTCTGAGGTGTGGGCAATGGGAAGCCCAGAAGGAGACTAGAGGGTGGGAGGAGAGAACATCTGGCATATGTACCCCCATTCTCTCCCTGCACCCCCAGACACAGCCCCAGAACCCTCAGTTCCAGGTGCAGCCCTTTCTCTCTGGGTCCTGTGAACCACCTCTTCTTGCCCTTAGCCCTGGAATAGAAATGGTGCCCCCGTGTCATTTCCCACCTTCACCCCTCACTCCTTTGTAAACACTGTCTCCCCAAACCCAAGTCCTTGGAGAGACCCGTTTGTTTCCGGTCTCTCCTGCTGGCAGACACACTTAACATTGAGAATTGGAACACAGATTCTCTTACAATCTCCAAGTCCTGGTGTAGTGCTCTGGGACAAGCGTGGGGCTTCTAACCACAAGATCAGCAGTTTAAACCCACCAGCCACTCCTCCTTGGGGGATGGGAACTGACTCAGTGATACTCAGTAACAGTAAAAAAAAAAAAAAAAAAGGATGTGTATATCTTGTCAGCTAGAACTCAAGAACAGCTTCGCCCACTCAAGACCAAGCCCAGACCCATGTCAGGCAGAAGGGGATGGGGTTCTCATATAAGGATCCTCACCCACTATTAAATGTAAACCATGTGACCTCAACCCCAGAACGGTGGTGGTGGGTCCACATCTGGTTTAATGAGCCCCGAGTTCCAACATATGGCAAAATCAGCAAAGACCTTCACTGTTCATGCTCTGCTTTTCTCATCTATAAAGTGGAGGGGAGAATGGTGCTGCCTTGAGCAGGTTGGTGTGAGGCCCAGTGAGCCAGCAGGACAGGGCAGGGCTCCTGGCAACCCCACGGGTGTTAGCTGGTACAATGGTTGTGAAGATGAGGCCGGACCAGGCAGTGTTACTCACAGAACCCACTGTCTGTCCTCCCAAGGGAAAAAAAAATCATTTGCAAACTGAAATCTGACCCAAACCAACTGTTTTCAGTGACACATCATTCTTGTTCCAATGATTTTATCTACACCTATGCCTTGCAGTGTAATAATCCACCGTGAGACCTAGGACCAGAGCCGACTCTACTCTCTTACAGGAAACAGTGGCCAGCAGCCCTATGCTCTGGGGGCCGTGGTGACAGGACCCCTCCCTCCTCTGAGGGTAGAGGTGGCCTGGAGCAGGCAGAGGTACAATGGTAGCCAACATAGGTTGGAGCAGACAGTCCAGTCTGGGGCCTGGCCCGCTCTGCACCTCCAGGGCTCTTGCGTACTTGAAATGAGATCTTTCCTGTCAGGAACTTGGCACAAGGCTGGTTTGTAAAATGTCTCAGCTCTCGGGGCTGGTGCAGCCCAGCACACAAATGCCAGCATCAGGGCCTGGGAGGATGATGCTGAAGGCAGCGTTCCCTGTGCTTTGGGCAGCCTGGGCAGCGGTTGGGTCAGTGAGCATGGGGTGGGGGAAAACTTGAGAATATCAGGGTTTGTCAGGAAACCTGGGTGGGGCTGGTGTTGTCCTATGATCCCCTCCTTTTCCTTCCTACCCCATCCTCAGACCTCTTCAACATCAGCTGTTTCTATCAAGTGAGTTTGTAACACTGAGGGTACCCATCCCAACCTCCCGCCCACCCTCCTATGGCTCACACAGAAGCCCATCTGGAATAGTCATTCAGCCTCATTCTCCTGTCCCAGCCCTCTGAGGCACCTTTGTGGCAGTGGTCTGAGCTCCACATCTCTGAGGAGTGCCCACAGAGCCACTGCTGACCCCAAGCATGGTCAACATGGGTCTCAGGGAGCCAGCGTCCTGCCCGCATGACAGCCAGCTTCCCAGGCACTTGAGGTTCTCAGAGAAAATGGCTCTGGGCCCAGGCTCAGGCAGCACTCTGTGTTAAAGCTCTGGCCCCTCAGACAGACAACTGTGGCAGCTTTTCCATGTGGAAGAGCAGAAGGGACGGTGGTGCGTTGGACAGAGGGCAGTCAGCCGAGGAGGGGATAAAGAGAAACTTAATTGATCCCTGGAGGAGTCTGACAGATACAAGACTAAAGTGTGTCTAGGAGCAGAGGTCCCTGGGACCATCAAGGGAGAAAAGCAGAGAGCAGAACCCTACCCAGAGAAGCAGTGACGCCAGAGATGGAGGCAGAGATGATGACGTGGAGAGATGGAGCAGCTGGGGACTTTAGACCCAGAGAGGGAGAGGGACTGTATGCTGATGACCACGGAGCAGGCTTGTAGGGTATACCCTTTGGTTGGTTGATGATGCATGGAGGGGATTGTAACCATGGCAATGAAATGATATACAATAGAATGAATGTAAAACTAATGTTCTCCCATGTAAACTATCACATAATTCACAATAAAACGTTAAAAACAAAAACCAAGACTAAAGTGTGTGAGGACCACTGGTAAAATGGAGCAGTCGAGACCTCTGTGTCTTGCAGTGGGGCCTGCTTCCCGTCTGGGGACGGAGAGGCAGTTCCCACACTACTAAGGGAGCCCAGCCCATCAGAGGGGGAAGCAATCCCAGCTGTCGGACCATCTGTTCGCAGGCCGGCTGGGCTCATGGAACAGAGCCGTGGGTCGGGGGCACAAGGAAAGCATCCCTCGAGGGCATCCAGTTAGCTTCAAGGACACACACACAAGGGTTTGCACATGAAGACAGATGGACAAGAAGGAGCCTGGGGGGCAGCTGGCCTCACACAAGTGGGAAGCCATCTGACCGTACCTTGTCCCTTCTCAGTCTCTTTAAGGCCCCATTAGGACCCACCCAGTTCCTTTGGTTAAGGTGTCCTCCTGGCCAGGGGCAACAGAGACGTACCAGGGTGGGCACCTTCCTGGTCTGAGATGCTGTTGCCCAAGCAAATCACTCTCTGACCTTCAGGTCCCTCTACCATGTGATAAGACAATCACCTGCCAAAGTAGGTGTGTTGAACCAGGCACAAAGCTTCCCCCCCCCCATCCCTTCCCCTGCCTTCCCTACCACACCTACGGCATGAGAGGTGGGGCGCGTGGAGTGTGGAGACCCTGAGGCCCCAAAGAGGAGGCCCCACTTAGAGACTACCTAATTCCATTCTCGATTCCTTCCATGAGTAAGTAATGGGGTTTCCCGAGATGGGAGAGGGTTGGGGGATTGATCAGAGGGTTAGAAGTAAGGTTATCCCAGGCCCCAGGGCCTTCTCAGAGAGCTGCTTGCATGACTGGACTTGAGCCAGGGTCCCTCCTGGACCAACTAGGCCATTTCAAAGAAGAGCCTTTCTCACAGCCAGCTGCCCAGGGACACTGAAGCGCTGTGAGTCTGCTCTGAACTGCAGAACCTCAGGTCTAGCGCTGACTAAGCTCAGTATGTAGGGACATCTGTCTCCCTGTTGCCGGGCTCTGCCCACCCCTCCCACCACCACC